TTGAACCCAGCAGCTGTGGCTTACTGCAGGACTAGGAGACTGTCTCTGGCCAGGGAATTACAGGTGTTAATCAGCAAGTGCTTTTCTAAATTAGTAGAACCACATGAGCTGCACTAAATATTCTTAGAAGGCCTGACGGGGTGTCTCTGACCTACTGCTGTTAGTATTTTACATGTTTTAGAAAGCTAACAAAGAACTAGAGAACTGGGCAGGCATGGGTGCTGTGTTAGTAAGGGGAAAGTTAGTTAAGGGGAAAATTCACTGAGCTGAAAAACTCCCACCCAGTGACCCTGAAATTAGTTCAGGAGAAACTCATGGCAAAGCAAGTAAAAGCAGCACTCAATAACAAATAAAAATTTTAAATACAGTAAATTGAATAATAAATATATCTGTGCAGAAAGCAGATCTCACCAAGAAACATGCTGTTGCTGCTGGAGGACCTTTCAAATGGGGTTGGGGAAGGTATGTGGTCAGGGTGCTTAAGTTGCATACACCTCCCCTACCCATCATTGCAAACAGCTGGCGTTAAAAGATGAGTGATCAAAGTCAGTGCTCAGGGCTTTGTACCCTGGAGAGTGGGTGTCGAATGGTACCTGCTCTCTGTTCTAAGAACTTCTACCCATTTTCTGTAAGCTCAGCCAGTGCCAGTAAAATTTGGAGGTAACACAAATGTGTCTGGCTAGCTAACAACCCCAAGTGCTGACCATGTCCACTGAGTGACAAAGAGCATGCTCTAATACAGGCTCCGTTCACACCTTACCAGGATGTGTAAGATAGCTGAACACAAGTTCCTCTACGAGGAACAGGCCGCATGTTTCCATTTTAGGAAATCAGCAACTCAGAGGAGAGCCAAAGAGTCGCTGCTCACACAGCCCAGGCAGGCGCCCGAGGTCCTTCCCACACTTGCCCCAAGGGTCCCCCATGCAGAAGCAGGGCAGAATGGATGCCAGCAGGACTGGCCTGACCACAGGGTTTGCTTCATGAGACAGACCTTTCGCAAGACTAAACCCATTGTCAGCTCTGTGCTGTCTTCTAACCATCTAGCCCTGCTGTACATACTTCAGGGACATTGTTCAAACACTGGAAAAGAGTTTCAGTAGCTACTGGGAAGCATTACAGTGGAAGGCTGAGGCTGTTCAACCTTTCAGCTTAAGAAGGAGATGCTGAGGTTAGATCATGGCCTGTAAGGATCTAAAGAGGCAAAAAGAGTTTTGATCTTTGAGCTTTTTCAGTGATCTGTATGTACTGGCTGGAGCTAGAAGCAGACCCATGCAGACTGGATGATAGTGAGACTTTTCAACTGTGACGATAGGTGATTCTCTTAATTTATTAGATGATACGACGGGTTATGTGAAGAGCTGGGCTCGCAGGAGGTGTCTCTGAAAGAAGGGCTCTGTTTAGCCATGAGAGGCTGGCTGTGGCCAGGCACCACAGCGTGAGGTTCTGGGCTGTGAGAGAAAATCACACTTATCTCCTTCCCTTCTTCCCTCCCTCTCTGTGAATCCTTTTACTAGACTCCTTGCTCAGAGAGTGCAACTGATCTTCTGCCTTCCCTCAGGAGAAAGACTTTTTTTTGAGGGAAGATGCTCTACAGCTGACCAGGGTCATTCTTGACCTTCAATATTATGAATCTGTCAGGTATCTTACAGTGTCTGATAAGCAATAAAAAATCATTATGCCTCTGAAACAGATCTGAGTGGCGTTATATACTGGTTTGGCCTTAATGCCTTTCGATGGTTTCTCATTTCCTTTTTACAGAAAGCTGTTGAGGTTGGTAGTTGTTGAGTCCTCTGTTTGGCAGAGTCACGGGGCAGCGTAGGGCAGAGTATCAAAGTCTGCAGGAAACTACGGAGTGTTTGTTTGTAGCTCAGGGCAACATAAGAGCTATTTCAAAACCCACAATCTATTTTTTTTTCATGCTGAGTCTACTTCTAAAAAGGGCAGCGCTCACTGTATTCCTCTTCTTACTGAGTCTGTGCCGTAAGGCCACTTAGCCACCTGTATGGATAGTGTCAGTTTCTGGGCTCAGGAGATGTGCCTTTTAGGGCACTCTTAGGGTGTGAGCATCTAGGGCAACTTGGACTAGGAAAAGGTTTGTGAATAACCAGATGTCTATTGTGCTTTAAAACACTAGCATAATAGCAAGAGTGGTGACTCTGGGTAGCAAATGGTTGATGTGTTTGGAGATGCCCTGAGGGGACATGCTGGGAGTCCTTCCTGTAGGACCTGTGCACTCGCCTCCACAGCCCCCGGCTCAAAATCCCACACCCAGGGCATCACATCTTGGCCCACCAACCAGGAGCAGGGCATGATACAGACCCATCCTTCCTGCTTGACTCACACTCTTGTGCAAGTGCCAGTCTGTTCCTAGCCACACAAGCAAGCCAAACCCTATACAGTGCCATTGGAGAGAGCCTCCCACAAGCCTCCGTCTTTCTTCATGAGGCAACAAGAGGACACAGGCATTCCTAGGATGCAGATCACCCGTGCCCTACAGCATATGTGCCCCAGCAGCACATGGAGGCTCTTGTGCTTCCATAAGAATGAGGAAACTCTGGGTGGCTTTTTCCTGTTTGATGGGAACCCATGTTTCCCCCATGCTTCCCCTCAAGTTCGCTTTTTGTTTTTCCCCCTTTTAGGGGAGGAGAATTGAAGGGAGGGATGCGAAACTGGTGAAATCGGACCTTGGCAAAGCCACAGGCAAGAAAGAAAGTAGTCCTGCAGAGTTTCTCAATACAGATTCAAAACTGCACTATTTCTTTCAGTGAGAAAAGCTTGATGCTTCCCCGCCAGCTCTGGCTCTGTTCCCCCTGCGGGAATGAGCTTCCTTCAGAGACGGGCCACAACCAGTTGATCCCCACTTTTTCCCCTGGGATCCCCTTGGCCCTTCTCGCATTGACAGCCGCAGAAGGGGAGCCCTCGCAGCGCCCGCGGCAGGGCAGCTGGGGAGGGGAGTTCCTCATTCAGGCCAGGAAACGTGACGTGATTTGGGTGCCCTGCATCAACCCCCGAGGCGCAGCCCGTGTGGGGCAGCAAGTGCTGAGCGTGACCTCGGCGCTGGGAAGCTGCTGCCGCGGGGCCCAGGCAAAGACACGCCGCCAGCCGGTCCCGCTGGGGGAAATGTCGTCACCTGTGCCCGAGGCCTGGCCCTCACAGCAGCAGCGGTGCCCAAAGGGGGCGGGCGCTCAGGGTGCAGCTGAGCCTGAGAGCGCGGAGCGACGCTCGCCGCCGGCTGCCTCCACTGAAAGAGAGGGCACGTGGACAGGGACATCCACAGTCAGAGCCAGACACGGCAGCCCCAGAGTCACCGTATCAACTCTGAAGCACATATTTCACTTTCAAAATGACGGTGGCTAAGACAGAAATACCCTGTGCCACGTGCTCTAGGTGTCCCTGCTTGAGCAAGGGGGTTGGACTAGATAATCTCTAGAGGTCCCTTCCAACCTCAACTATTCTGTGATTCTGTGATTGACAAGTTAAGGTCTAAATTTACTATTATTTATTGCAACCATTGCAATCACTATTGCAACCACTCACATTCAATGTAAAAATAATATCCAAGCAATTTCTGCTTATTGTGGGAGCCATCAGGTGTGCAAAGGCAATGTCCCAGCTGAAATCGCAGCATTGAATTCAGATGGCACTGAAATGTGTCACCCATCCTTCAGAGTGGCAAGACTTTCTGCAGAAGAAAAAAGAGTATTTCCATTATTTTAGCCTTTTTCAGCTCATTTGGGGGATGGAGATGAATACTAACTATATTTTTCTCCATTTACCAAGCATACATGGCTTGGTAACTAAAAAACAGGAGCTAGAAATGCTTCTGTTAGTCATTTTGATTCCTAAATGTGTCATTGGACATATTCCAACATCATATATATAATATATAAACATTTTATTCAGTAAATAATTATATTAACTATTAAAGAATTGATAAACTATTATTTTTTAATTTATGTATGAGTGTGCATGTATGTATAAAAAGTCTAGATGAGCAATACATCAAATTTTGCAGCAGTTTAACTAAATGTGTACAGATACAGTGTACATTCCTACTTTACTGACATCCACATTTAGTCTGGAAGCTATATTTAGCTGCAGAACAACTTATTTTGTGAGTGCAGGAGCGCTGCCACCCTGAGTCAGCCCACGCACCCGTTCAAGCACGACCGCCCTCTCTGCCCGTTGCAGAGGAGGGAGGAGTGGTATTTCCCTCATGCGCTGCCCTGGCTTCCATGCATCAGCCATTTGGCACCTTTATGGTCACCAGCAAATGAGAGAGAACTGGGATGAATAGTGAAAGAAAACAAGCAGGATATTTCATCCTGTACACAAGTCTTGTGTCTTTGATAGAAGTAATGCCTGGGCAAGGTCATTCAGATGGCATGGCGACCTGCAGGAACAGCAGTGGGGACCAGAGGGCTGTCCAGGGCTCAGGAGCACTTTCACATGCCCAGCACCGTGGCCTAGTCTCTTCAAAGTACTTTAGTTGGGGCCCTTGGGCTTCCTCCTCCATCAGGCACTTTAAGCCCTTGCACGGGGCTGTCACAGGGATGCTTTTTGTCTTGCAGAAAATGCCCCGTGACTGCTACCTGCAGCTGCTGTTGGTGACTTGGGTGCTGCTGCTGTTGCCAATAGGTGAGTCCCACCTGGCCTTCCTTGCTATCTTCCCTCCCGGCACTTTATATGGGCAGTAAAACAGTGGTAGAGGGGAAGAAGACCAAAGACAACAGTGTGACTGTGACCTTGACAGTGACATGGAAGGCTGGAAGGTGGCATATTGCCCCTCAGATGTCAGGGGACAGCAATGCTGGTGAGGACTCTCATATGGCCTACTGCAAGGGCTTGGGAGGTTATAGGTAGAGCGAACTCAGGCCGGTAGGACAATGTGGTGCTTCTTGTTGGGTGTCAGAGCATCCTGTGGCTGCCACCAGTGTAGATGGGGTCTCTCTGGGGGTGCCCAGCAAGCCGTCTTTGTGTTGTCTCCATTTCAGCTTTTGCCATGGAATGCACCAAGACGAAGGTGGGGACGTGCAATGACTGTATCCAGTCCGGCCCTGGCTGTGCCTGGTGTAAGAAGCCGGTAGGTCTGCGTGTCCTCAAAGGCCATCAACATCCAGTGGGCAGCTACCACAGAGTAGCTACCCTGCCCGCTCCACTAACAGGGCCGTGCCCTGTGGTGAAGGGAGGGGACAGCATCCCAGCTTGTGCCTCAGTGTCTCGCCCCAGCAGCTTCGGGGCAAGCCCTGCCAGTGGCAATGAGCCAGTCTTTCCCAGTTCTCCCATCTTGCTTAGGTCCAGAGGGAGTGACCCAAGTCTCTGCAAACTGCAAAGGAGTGAGATTGTGGCCCCTGTGCCCATGCCAGTACCCACGACCATTTGGCAGGCAGCAGGAGCAATCATCCGCCCTCTGCCAGACATTATTGCTTGCTTACTTGATCTTTAAAAGCAAAATGGTTTTTCATGCTCTATCTGGTAGATGGGGCGAAGAGAGACCTGACAGGCCTGCGTGACAGGCAGGACTTATTCAATCTCACTTTTTCCATCAATAATTCAGAGATGCATCAGACCTAGTTTGGGAGCTGGATCATCTTGCAACATGTCTGTTTTCCTCCCACTGCTGATTTTCCCTGTTGATTTTGCAACATGCAGAACTTCACCAAAGCTGGAGAACCAGACTCTATCCGCTGTGACACCATAGAGCAGCTGGAGCAGAAGGGGTGCCCGCGTGATGACATTGAGTTTCCAATCAATGACATTAGAGCAACAAAGGCCACTGCTTTAAGCGACAAGATACAGCTGACTCCCCAAGAGGTGCACCTGAAATTAAGGACAGGTATGATTTGCCTGGCTCCATAATGATCTTCCAGTTGATCCCTCAGTCTTTGTGGAGTAGAAACCAGAGCTGGCCAATTGTTGCTGCATATGTTACTCACCCAGAACTGAAGTGACTAATATCAGGAGTTCATCAGTGCAGGGGAACTTAGTGATCAATCCAATGCTGAGAAAAGGTTAAGTGACAGAGGAGACAGAGGAGTTATCCACCTTCAGACAGTGACTGAATTTGTGTGGATGGGGAAGATCATCTGACACAAAGTATAGATGGGAGAGGAGAATGCAAGAGAGGAGAAAGACATGAGAGCTCAGGGAAGGCAAGAGTTCCAGAAGAAAGACATGGGTGAGGATGTGAGAACAAGTGAGAACTCAGAGAGGACAAGGTGGAAAAACCTGCTCTTAACTTCATCTCGGAGGTCGTCTGAGAAGAGAGACAGGATTGCAGAACTCTAAAGCGGAAGTGAGAGGGGGTGGAGGAGTGGGGGACACATTCCTAGCAGAACCCTTACATTGGTAATAAAGGGACATAGAGAGGCAAGTTGTGTCTTCTGCAGGCTCCCGAGTGGCTCTCCTGTATGGTGGGAGCAAGCACGAGGCCACCAGGAGGGAAGAGTGTCCTGCAGAGCCCAGCACGGCATCAGGGGATCCTAGACAAGACAGTAATAGGAGGAGAGAGCTGAGAGGGGAAGAAGGCAGGTTTCTTTCAGAGGAAATGGGCATGGTCCTCACAGCAAAAGCCAAGAGGGGCTAGGTTACAGGCTGGTTACAGTCTGCAAGTGGAGCACCAGAGAGACAGAAGTGCAGTGTTAGGAAGTTGGCTGAACTGAGGAAGGAGAAACAAAGTTTGTTGGAGAAGGGGCTGGCCAGGCTGGGGCCACCTTCCTAGGGGAAGGTAGATGAGAGATTGGGCTCTCCCAGCAGCAGGGCTGGTCTCCCATCTGTGTGGGGACGCAGGAGCACGTTGCACGCTTCGTCCTGATTCCCTCCTGAAGACAGGAAGCTCCAAGGAGCGGGGTGAGATTGGGCAAGGCGTGAGACGTGGCAGTGTCTGACCCTGGTGTTGGGGCTGTGGTATCTCTGTCTTTCAGGCCAGCCTGCTACATTTGAGGTGAAATTTCGTCGTGCCATGGGTTACCCCATTGATCTCTACTATCTCATGGACCTCTCTTACTCCATGCTGGATGATCTGGAGAAGGTGAAGAAGCTGGGAGGGGAACTGCTCAGAGCGCTGGAAGCCACCACTCCCTCTCGCCGCATAGGTGAGTGTTTCCTTCATACCAGGCCCTAGCCTGGCCTCTTTTGAACCTCAAAAAACCACAAGACCAGACGGGAGCACAGGGACAGAGCAAGACACAGTCAGTGGGCAGCATAACCTTTCCACTCCAAGGCTGGAGAGTCCACCCGGGCGAGGAATGGGCCATTGGGGAACTGCGCACGGACAAATCCGCATCCTGTCTCTGCTCACCCCTCCTCCTAACACTGCTGCTCTTGAACACCCCAGGATTCGGCTCCTTTGTGGATAAGACAGTGCTGCCCTTTGTGAACACCCACCCGGAGAAGCTGCGGAACCCCTGCCCCAAGAAAGATGAGAACTGCCAGCCCCCCTTTGCTTTCAAGCACATCCTCTCGCTGACTGACGATGCCAAGAAGTTCGAGAGTGAAGTGGGGAAGCAGTCCATCTCGGGGAACCTGGATGCCCCAGAAGGAGGCCTGGATGCAATGATGCAAGCAGCAGTGTGTGGGGTGAGATCTTTTCCTCAGTGTTGTGGTCCTGTGTCTTTTTCACTGCTAACATAACTGCTCGATAGACACAAGGGATGCTTAACTGTGTTTCAAGGCTTGTCTGTCAGGAGTTGGCTTTGTTTCTCTCCAGGCAGACTCAAGCCCATCAAATTTTCAGGACTGTTAAACCCAATGTAAAATATGTAAAAACCCAATTCAGCACTAGAGCAGGTTATAATAAGGGGATACAGAGAGAGTCTCCATCCCGAGCCTCCATCTCTAATCTGTAACCTGCCTCCTCTGGCCTGTCGGCCTTCCGCTGCGCACACGTGCAGCGTGCTCGATGTGAGGATTTACTGTTCAGTGACAGGTTTGAGTGCTGTCCATGCTGCTTTCAGGACTTGATTGGCTGGCGCAATGTAACCCGCTTGCTGGTGTATGCGACTGATGACGGCTTCCACTTCGCTGGCGACGGCAAACTTGGGGGCATCCTCACCCCCAACGATGGCCACTGCCATTTGGAGAATAACATGTACAAAAAAAGCAATGAGCTTGTAAGTACCCTGGACAAGATGCAGGCCCCAAATGGCTCTTCCACAAGGGCTGCTTGGTGACTCCACACCCTCTCCTTGCATTGGCCACTCATCCCATCCCTGGACCCTGCCTGTCGCATCTGCAACAGGAGCACCAGCCCTCCCAAAGGACCTGGTAACTGTCCAGAGGGCCATGGATGCAGTGTCCCCTGCACCTCACAGGTGCTGCAACTCATATGTCGGGCTTCCCTGCTAATGCCTCTGTGTCACTGCTGGGCATCATAGTTTGGGACCCTCTATGTGGCCTGCCCTATAAGGACTCCACCAGCAAAAGCCTTGAGCTGACCTTCTGGGTAATACAAGCAAATCAGAGACATCTTAATTCAAGACACAGCTCCTCTGTGTTTTTTCCCAGCATCATTCCCATAGACAGAATAAAAGCCTGTTATCGAGGCCACAAGATTCCTATCAGCATAGCAAATCTAAAGAGTTGCCTTGAGACAACCTCCAGGCAGCCTCACTACAACAGGCTATTGACCATACTGAGACCCCAGAGGAGCCACGTAACCAAATGTATTCTCTGTTCTGTTGATGGAAAGAGTCTGAACTGAAAGCTGTCATCCTTCTTCTCACACAGGACTACCCATCTGTTGGCCAGCTGGTGCAAAAACTCACCGAAAATAACATTCAGCCCATTTTTGCTGTCACCAGTAAAATGGTGGGCGTTTATAAAGTAAGTAGACTTTGAATGGCCCAGATGCCTAACATCCTCCCCAAGAAGGACAAAAATGGATGTGCGTGTCCTCCCGTCACCAGGTCCTTGCATTGGGCCAAGCATGAGTTGCACTGTCCACTCTGTGCTCCACTGTCATGCATCAGGGGAGATGATTCATGTTTGCTGTCTATTGGCAGAAGCTCAGTGAAATGATCCCGAAGTCAGCAGTGGGGGAGCTGAATGAAGACTCCAGCAATATCATCGAACTCATACAGGTGGCCTACAATGTAAGTGCTGGGTAAAGACACCCCTTGCCTGTCCGACAGGGATTGAAGCTGTGAAAAGCTTCAATTGTGTATCCTCATCATCACAGAATAGAGTAGATGAGCCTGGGGCTTTGAAAACAGGACACATTCATTCCCTCTGCCCACAACAAGCAAGAAGTTTCAATGTCTTCAGTCCCGTTGCCTACCCTCCCAATCCACAAGGAAGCAGCTGAGACTACAGCTTGGGTTGCTTCCTGCCACCAATTCCCCCACAGGGAAGCGCTGACCTGCAGTGCAGGATGTGTGCCGGATGGATTGCAGTAAACCGCATTCCCTTGGTTTAGTCTCTTCTTGGTCTAATAGCATTTTCTTCATCGTTTCCTCACAGAACCTGTCTTCGCAAATCATCCTGGATCACACCACTCAATCAGATGTCCTAGATATCAAATATGACTCCATATGCAATAAAGGCAAGAATGTCTTGGATGAAGCAAAAGGACGGTGTGACGATGTTAAGATAAACGATGTGGTATGTTCCCTAGTACCGGGAATGCTGCAGAGCTCACAGCACCACTGGCATCTTCTCTTTTTAATGGCAGAAATCCAGTTTGTTGCTCCAGACTTCTTATTCATGTGAATTTAAGGCCAAGAGTTCCCAAAATGCTGCAATTCAGTATTTGCTAATCTATGCATCTCTAGACATTTTGCTGTAGTGCTGGCCAAAAACAAGGCCTGAAAAGGTATTAGGAGCAGCCCTATCGAGCAAACCCTCTAGGGTAGGAGGGTAGCCCCGTAACTCAGTGCAGTCTGACTGGGTTGGTCAAAGAAGCCAGTGCAGTGGCACATCCCCAACCCATGTGGTTGATACCACTCTGATTACTGAAGCTAACTTCTGATCTTTGAGGCTTCTCTTTATTTATTTATTTTTTCTCTGCATCTTCTAGGTCACCTTCAGAGTTAAGGTCACAGCAAAAGAGTGCATTAAAAGCCAGTCCTTCACCATTCGACCACTGGGCTTCACAGACACACTCACCGTTTATGTTGACAGCAACTGTAACTGCAACTGCCATGAAGAGCCCGACCCAAAAGACTGCAATGGGAAAGGCAGCATCGTTTGTGGGATTTGCAGGTAAGTTCTGACAACGCTGATTCAAATGCTGCCAGCAGTGGGGAAGTGCTAGGAGAGGGTAGATGTACCAAGCCAAGAGCAGCTGCAAGTTTTGCTTGGAGAACTGGAGGCCTCATGAGGACCAGCAGAGACGTTTACACTAGACAGTCAGCCATGGCTCAGTTTTGAGGTTTTGCACCAATTTTCTGGTTTAGAGTAGCAGCTTAATCTCCCAGTGACAAGGGACATTATGAGCTACCACCCTTGAAGGAATCTCTTCTGCTTTCCTACAGGCATCCATCAAGCAGCAGAGGCTTTCTGTGGAAATCTCCGTAAAAACCTAATTCCTGGGCTGCAGTTCATGATGGTCCTTAAGCAAAGATAATTATCACTTCATGGTCCCTCACAGACTGAGAGAGGAAAAGACTGGGTTTCCTCAGGAAACACTAAGAGCTCCTGGCAAGAGTTTGGAAATCATAAATATAATAATTATTTCCGGGCAAGCATTTGCATTTGGCATTGTAAAAATAACCAGCTCACCCAGCAATGTTTCTGCGGTTTCCAACTGGTTAAGTTCCCTGCTTGAACACATTAGCACATGCACCACATGCTGCTGCAGATGCGGTGAGGATGCCTGGTGACTCACTTGTTTTCACTGAGCCTGTCCCAGGTGGGCTCTGCTTTAGCCAAGGCCCTAGACTTAGCCCGTTGCATACGTACCTGGGCAGGGTATAAGGGCATGGTTACAAATCCAGGGCTCACAGCGCAGCCAGGCTGGTGCTAGGAGAACTTGGCAGAGCAGGTTTACTCCTGGCACTGGCATTTCTCGTGGCCACTGATCCAGATTCCCTTTTCTCCTTTTACGGCAGCTGCAATTCAGGCTACACTGGGAAGGACTGTGAGTGCGAAACCAAGGGCAAGAGCAGCAAAGAGCTGGAAGGCAGCTGCCGAAAGGACAACACATCTGTCATCTGCTCAGGGTTGGGAGACTGTGTGTGCGGGCAGTGCATCTGCCACACGAGCAACGTGCCTGGCAAGGAGATCTACGGTGCCTTCTGTGAATGCAGCAACATGAACTGCGAGTTTCACAACAGTTTGCCATGCGGTGGCAAAGGTGAGAGCCCGAGACCCAAGACAGTAGTTCATTCCAAGCAAGGATGCAGTACAAGCTGACAAAGCCTGAGCAGCTCTTAGTTTTTCTTTTCTCTTCCTCATCCTCAGTACACCAGAAAAGGTACCTCTGAAGGACACCCATGTCTCTATCCCCATGTATCATTTTGATAGACCAAGGAGTGCTCTGTGACAAATGCAGAAAGATGGGGAAAAAGGGGAACAATATTTGACAGAACAGCTCCCTGTAAACTGTTTCATTAGGCACCTGCAGGATCTTGCTTGAGAGGTCTCCCATGGATCAGATTCTCTGAGCCCTGCAGAGCAGCACTGGAGACATGCCATACTGCAACTAATTTCTCTTGTGGGGGAGCAGATGAGGCCTTGCTAAGTTGTTGTGACTGGAAGGAGTCCAGCCAGTAATGATTGCTGGGCAGAACACTGGTCTTCAAACAGGTGAATGGCTATAGCTTCAGGTGCGTCACAACTGTGAAGTTTGACTAGGAGCTAGGAACCAGCTCTAAAAGTTTCTACTTTGCCCACAGAGCGAGGGCAGTGCGACTGTGGCAAGTGCAGATGCAAACAAGAGTACCAGGGTAGCGCGTGCCAGTGCAAGAAGTCAACAGACGGCTGCCTGAACATCCGTAGGAACGAGTGCAGCAACCGGGGGAAATGCCACTGCAACCAGTGCCAATGCAATGAGGGTTACCAGCCCCCCTTCTGCGAAGAGTGTCCTGGCTGCCCATCACCCTGTGGCACACACATGTGAGTGACGCACACGGGGACAGATAGGGCAGGGGTCTGCAAGGACAAGGCAGCCTGCGCATTCTTCCCTTCCCTGGGCTGCAGCAGGCAAGTCAGCACCATGGCTGGCATCGCTGGTCTGTGTCTCAGCCTCCTGAGGAGCTGGTTGGTTTTTATTGCTAAGTTTGGTGCTATGGGTGGCCAGCTGGTCCCTGAATAGTTGTACAGAGAAAGAGAATCTGTCCATCTTCAGTCTGCACAACACCTTGAGACCTTCACCCCTCTCTGAAGCTCCCAGGGCTGGGCCCTAGGGTTTCCCATTTAGGTAGCCCCATGTTAGGGTCACGCAGCCATCCTGCTGGCTGCCATTCTCCCCCCCGGGAGGTCTGAACAGTATAACAGCTCCAGGGTTCCTGTCACTGCAGAGACAAGCCCTGCTTTTGCATGTTTTCCAGTTCCTGTGTGGAGTGCAAAGCCTTCTCCAGTGGACCATTTCAAAAGAACTGCTCTACAGCCTGCAAAAACATCAATACTTCTGAAAAGCCACTATCAGGAAGCAGGCAGTGCAGAGAAAAGGACTCCCAGAACTGCTGGATCACCTTCCGCATGTTCCAGGAGGACGGGGAGGACATCTACACTGTGAATGTGGATCCTACAAAAGGTAATCAAGTCATGCTCTCCACTCCCTTCTTCAGGCAGGTAAACAGAAGAGCCTGCTCTTGCCAGGGCTTATGCCAATCCCCCAAAACACTAAAGATAATAAATACATTGATTCTTTGAACTAAAGGGCTAAATCTAGACTCAGCTGAGGGACCAAAGGGCTGCAAAGCCGTGACTATGCCCAGGACTTTGCCGCTTTCTCTTGCGACTTTGTGCTCCTAGACCATATCCCCCTTCTGCTGCTGCTGACTGCACAGATCAGAGCGCCCAGCTCTGGCTCCCGGCTGCAGGGCGCAGCCAGCACCCACCCGTGTCCTTCACGGAGCACACAGGTGGGAGCAGCAGCACTGCGGGGAGCGGAGCTGACGCAGCAGGAGGCTGCAGGGAGACACTGCTGTGCTTGTTCTGCAGAGTGCCCGGAGCCTCCCAACGTTGCCTTGATCGTGGGCGGCAGCATCGCTGGTGTGGCCCTCATTGGGCTGGTGCTCCTGCTCATCTGGAAACTCTTGACAGAGCTGTTTGACCGCCGGGAATACCGCAGGTTCGAGAAGGAAAAGTCCAAGGCCAAGTGGAACGATGTAAGAGACCTTTTCTCTGATGATGGGATACAGCTCACAACAAAGACTCTCTCCCCGCTTGTGGGGTTGTTCTCCTCCTCGCCCTGCCTTCACTTGAGCTGGGTCCAGCTAGGCGCAGCCCAGCACCCCACTGAGCAGGGCATGACCTGCCACTGATATGAGGACACGAGATAGGGGTGGGCCCCAGTGAGCTCATTTCAGTGCCCTACCATAGCAGTGCAACTGGAGAAAATAGAGAAATTTCTTAGAAAAGTCAAAGAAATCCCTGTAGGCAAAGAAAGCACCACACAGAGAATGTGTGGTGGTATCAACTAGGTTGAAAGTAGGAGTGGGGAAGGTCAGAACCAAAAGAAACATCATTTCTGAAGACAGTCACTGCTTGACAACAACAGCAGAGCTTTGCTGACCTGAATCCTTGCTGCCACCCAGGCTTTGTAGCCTGTTTGGATCTTGCAGGGAGCTAGAGGCATCTGTGAGCTCTTCTGCCAACACTGTGCCATTTGAAGAGGGTGGGGGGCACCCACCTCTTTAACACTTACTTGGAGGGCCAAACGGACCAAGCCTGTGCATGCAGAAATCCAACACTGCGTCACACAATGCTTCTGATCTCTCTCTTTCCTCTCTCCAGGCTGATAACCCTCTGTTCAAAAGTGCCACTACCACAGTTGTGAACCCCAGATTCAACGGAGAATGAAATGGAGCAGCACCAGACAGAGCTAGGAGCCACCATTAAATAAATTCCAAGCCAAGGAAAATTCAAACTAAGACTTCCACCTCTTATTCTTTATCCTGTTGGTTTGTTCCCCTCTTCCAAGAGATCATAAGTAAAAGTTGGGCTTTGGCTAAGGGATTGCTCTGTGCCCATCTCCTCACACAGTTCATACTGGTCCTAGTAGACGAGCTGGGAGAAGGGAACAAGTTTTGCTGTGACTGGGACTACTGAGTAGAATTTTGCCAGTAGGCACAGGCAATGGCTCCTGTGTCAGTCACTGTCTGTCTCAGCTCATGAAGCTAATTGTGTGTGCTTTGTGACAGGACCAAGCCTCCAAATCAGCTTAATGTGCAGTTGATTTGGAGCTGGGATTTCAAAAAAATGCAGGATCTGCTCCATGGCTACTTTGTGCCTAATCTTTATCTACTATGTTGTCCTCTACCATGTTATGTGTGCAGCTTATTTCTAAAGCCCTCACTTCAGAAATTGATGTGGGGGGTCTCCCAAGCTCTGGCAAAAGTACCAGAGGTTTCAGTGAACTCATGGGCAAGAAGGACTGGTGAGTACCTGTGTCTGGAGACAAAGAGAAGCCAGGAAACATGCACTGAATCTTATTTTCCAAATCACCAGCTGCTCCCCAGTGTGGCTCTGCTCTCAGAGCTATCTCTGGGTCCACCAAGTTTATATTTGGGTTCCTGCAAGCTTTGCTTACTCCACGAGGTCTGAAGCCCTCTGCATGACAGGGTGGCAAAGAAGCAACTAGTTAAACTGTGAAACAACAGCAGTCAGAGAATCAAAGAACTCGGATGTGTTGCTGGGTCCTAGCTTCTTCCTCCCCCAGGACTAGATCTCCTTTCTCTGAAAGCCCAGGCACACAGGGCCAGGCAAACTAAACAACCTGCAGTACCAGAGAGCATCTCCAGCTCAGTGATATTTCAAATGGTGCACAATAGTTACTTTTCATGTTGTGGGGTCATTCCAGTTAAATATCTGCATATTTCTTTATGTTTGGGAATAATTTGCCTATAGCTGTATTGGTATTATGTAAACCCCAGTTTGCTCTATGTAAAGTTAATAAAAATTAATATATAAAGCAAATACATGTGACATGCTATGAATCAGGTTCAGGGACAGCAATTGAAATGCCTGTCCAAGAAATTACAAAAAAGTTTTTGTCATCGATGTCAGCATCTCTGGTAGAGGCTGTGCCTGGAGAATTCACTGTCCAAATAAACAAGCTGTTTTACACTAATTTTCCAGCTACATCCCCAAAGATGTTCCCATGCTAGTCAAAAATGACTCACAAAATGATAAAAACCATATCTTTTCCTTGCTGACAGGAACTAACACTGCACCAAGAAATACACGGCTGCCCCCTTAGAAGCCCTGGTAGCTGCGGCACAGAGCGTTGGGAAAGTCACAGGGCCTTGGCTATAGCTTAGGGGTGACACAAGCAACGCAGGCCTTCGGCCCAGCCACAGGAAAGCCCTAGACACCTACAAATGGTCCCTTCCAGACTTATTTGTCTTCCTGTAGTTGAAACAGTGACCACTTTAGTGTCTGCACCCTCCTAGGTCCACTGCAGCCAACTTCTGTTCCTGAAAGGCAGCTGAGACTGCAGGACATGTGCTTGCTGCCAGCCTCACCATGGGCATGGCCATGGCATAGCCCTGCAGCTGGTACACACCACAAAAGCAGCTCACCAGGGCTTGGGGTCTCAGTCCTGGGGCTCACATGCAGTGCCCACTGCCAGGGAACCAGAGGTTTTGTTACTTGAGTTTAAAGAGAATGCTGCCTCTATCAGCAGCTGAACCAAAGTCTTTCTGCTGGTATGGATCCTGCAGTGTAAGCACAAACATATGCATGGTCAGGAATGCATGTAAGGAGCTTGCACGAGGGATGCAAATGCAGAGATTCAGACCATTTAAAAGAGAAATGCAAACAGGAATTGCAGTAGACAAACATGCATGCTAGGACACTCACAAATGCCAAGCAAGAAAACATAGAGCCAGGAGAGTTCCTCAGGCCTGTTGGTGTTTTTTTTTTTTTTTTGCTTGAGGACTTGGTCAAGCAATCTGTGGAGACTTGTGCGCAAAAATCAGAAAGATTTCTCAGCCAGATGCAAAATGAACCTTTCCCTATGTTTGAAGCTTTTCCCCAGGATCTGCTTTAAGTTTCATTTCCACAAAGAACAAATGAAACATATTTTCTTTGACTTTGGGGATGGGGAGGGAAGGAAAAAAAAAAAAAGCTTTCAAGCCAAAATCTTGCAAGCTCTATTTCTGAGCCCCAAGTAGCTCATATTATCAGCTTCACCTGAAATACAGCATCTCTAAGTACAAGAACACACTAACCTGTACACAGATGCATGCTCATGTTCACACATGCAAGCTAGAGGCACAAAGCTACTTTTATTGGCATGGTGACTGCTCAGTGTGAGGGGGTTCAGGAGATCTAAGGAAACCCTGGAAGCACCTACCTTCACAGCAGATGGACAACAGCAGAGTTACAATGAACGTGTCTTCATGGAAAAAGCAAGAGAAAGGTTGCGAATTTTAAATAATATTTTTAAAGACAAAAAATATAAACAACTCTTAATTGATGTGGAAAATACTAACAATGTAACAAGAATATGTTCCTTCAACAGATTGTTACTAAATTATTTCAGAAACATGATTTAAGAGGAAGGAATTCTCAGAGTGCCCTGAAATGAGGCTTAAAATTTTCTGTGAATGCCGTTGCTGAAGGCAACAGTAATGCAGGAAGGCAAATCCATTCTTGACAGTACTACTGCTTTCCTGAGGTAATGCTCATCTAAAATCATTAGGAAGCTTCTGACCAGGTATGTCCATCCTGGAGAGACACTTGGTAATGCTATGAGTCTGCTCAATGTGAGAGATGCAAGTGCATCAAGCAGTCTCATTCCTGCAAGCCAGACTTCCTGAATATGATCATTAGCACCCTGAGATACTTGCAGATATCTCTACACCAACTGGGAATCAAGAACCCATTGAGATAAGCTACTCCCAAAGGCATATTGGGAGATAAAAGGAGGGAAAAACTAGATTTTGATAAGAACAGAACTTCATATAACAGACTGGGAACCCTGACCAATTTAAGATAGAGAGGGATCACCGCTCCTCAGCGGGAAGAGAGGAGAATGTAGGGTTACAGAAAGTCCCAGTCATGTTCCAAGAGAAACAACATCATGGAACTGAGCCAACTGCCCATGCCATCGCTTTATTCCATGTAGGAGCTCCCCTTACATTTAAGCCATTTGTGTGTTGAAGGACAATTTTCCAATATTCTTGAGATGGTAGGACCAGCCCCACAGGTTTTCTACACAGAAGTCAGTATCTCGCGTCAGCCACTTTAGTAGCAGATACATGCCACTCAGTCCTGCTGCCCCCGTGACAAAGAGCCCTCCATTAATTACCTGAAAATGGAAGAGGAAATCCAGGTGTTGTCACAAGTTTACTTGTACCTTATGGCATCAAGTGAGAGATAGGCAAGTTGCTTGAAGTCAGCAATCAGGGCCTGCAACCAACTCTCGCAGAGCTGGTAAAGTTCTAGATATCCATTCCTTCTTCCCAAGCAGGGCCAAGAGCTGCCATGTGGCCACATATAGCATGGGAAGCTAAAAACAGGTCACCTGCCACTGCTCTCATACTGCATCACCTTCTGTCCCTACTGAAAAGTCCTCAGGCAGAATGATAATCTGCATCACCTTCTGTCCCTACTGAAAATAAGTCCTCAGGCAGAATGATAACGCAAACCTCCCACCCAAACAGCTCCAAGCACTCTTCTACCTGACACCAGCTGAACTAGCAGCCCTGGCCCAGCACAGCATCAGGACAACACCAGCCACCCCAGTGATGCGACGAAAAGTAGCTCCAGGAGCAGGGAACTCCTTGCACCAGACACACATGCAGGGGAAGCGTGCTACCCTGCATGCAGTGCGGAGCCCTCTGGGCTGTTCTCAAACAACCGGGGAGCTTTAAATCCAGCTTCCTATGTCTTGTGACCAAAACTCTCATCCCCACAGCTGAGCGGTGCTACCACAAAGGACACAGAACTCATGAGGCTCCTGGCACAGAGAAAGAGACATCAGCTTTGACTAACCTTTTTCTGCCACTTCCAGCGCTGCAATGCTTCATGGTAGCGTATTCTGGTGAACGTGACCTGAACAGATAGCAGGAGCAAGTCACTATCTCAGAAATAACTGAGAGCAGAAGGGTCAGGGAAGCAGGGACAGAACAGCTGGCCTCACCATGGTGTATAGCGGGACGATGGTGGAAGGCATGAGCGCGTGGAGGAAGTTGTCCACGTGCTTCCGGAAGATGAACCACATTGAATTCACATGCTCTCGCATCTGCAACAGAACAACCAAGCTGCTTTAAAAGATACCCCTGCTCCTCGCTAGCTCTCCCTGGGCCTCTCACTATCACAGGAAGCAGTGCTATGGAGAGCAGAGCCTCCCCAGCTCTAGGGTTGGTCAAAAGCTCTTAGGCTAAGTTATATTAGTGTGAGGACTGTCAGTTCAGCAAAAATTCTGGGAAACAGTATCAGGGAAAGGGTGCCTACAGCTGCCTTGCCATCATTGTGTGATGATACACACACACATTAGTGAGTAGGAGAGTGACATTCAAAGCCATCTCTTAGCTTTTCTCCAAGCACTCAGGTCTGCACAGAGTGCAGAACATCCTCAATGCAACTGTAGGTAAACACAGACTCAGGAAACTCCTTTGCACAGTAAAACTGGAACTCTGGGAGGACTCAACTACTCTGCTCTTCCCTCTATCTAAGTGCAAATTCTTCAGTTAACAAGGCAGCACATCACTGCACACGCAGACCCCATGCATTGCTCACCTACCTCTATATAATTGTACATGGCTAAATCTGAGATTGCATGGTCGTCTGGCACCCTCAGCCTGGAGAACTCAGGAAGGCAAGCACCTGGGAAAAAGCAGCAGCACCACAATTAGCTCCACAGGATTGCCAGTCTGCTTTGGCCAGTAG